CCACCCGCCTCGGCCTCCCAAAGTGCTGGGATTACAGGCTTGAGCCACCTCGCCTGGCCTCTGTTCTCTATTTCATTAATTTTAACTCTTATCCTATTACTGTTAGGAGGGGCTCTTAAGGAGGGGTTGTGTGCTGACTTAAATTAAGATTTGGTCAAAGTTCAACAGCCTGGGGGAAGGAAGCTTAATATATTCTCTAGATCAGTGAGTACAAGCAATTCAGCTAATCATTTATGAAGCAAAGAATGGGAATTTTCAGGGCAGTCTGTGTCTGATTTTGTTATAAGTAAATGGAGGAGCGGGGGATGAACATCTGTGAGTCTTATTGAAGTCACCCGGGGAAGGATGGTTCTTTATAATAAGCCATTTCCTGGAACACACAGGTGTTGGGCAGGAGGGTTACTGTAATGTTTTAGAAATAAAATTACATTAACTCTGGCTATGTTTCAGGGTATAGGGCTCAGGTAAAGCTTCACACTGTCAAGAAGAACTTGAAAATACCTTTTTTCCATAAAACACAATGAAACTAATACTATGTAACTGAATATTCCAAAGCACCAATTCTCATATTATAAATGTACTATTGGCCAAAATACAAATAACTGACCCAATTCCAAATTCTGTAAAATTTCATTAAGATCCTTCTGTAGGTCATAAGCCTGATGCATGGGTGTTCACGTGAATGTGTGAGATGCGCCTCCCTCAAACCTTGTTTTGTTTTTAACAGCCATTTTCTATTGTTCATTCATTTTAGTTTTGGCTACAACTGAAATATCCGTCTTTTATGAGATACAGCTTCTCATTTGCCTTTATTCACAAAATCTGTTCTAACTACACATTTCATTGGCTTCAGCCTCATGCTTGATGCAGAAGTGAGGAGACACTATATAGCTATATAGTGCAATAAATATTTGAACAGTTGCTTGGATTTTTGCAATAATAGATTGTCACTCGGGGTCATATGACTCTCAGGTGCTAGAAAATACTCTGCCTTTCAGAATGTAACCCTGGGCACACTGAATCCAACTGGATAAAAATGAATGTGAATTTACAAGGCCTACAGGGCAGTTTGCAGAAATGAAAATGTTGAGACTATAGATATAGTGGTGTTTTTTTTTTTTTTTTTTTTTAAGGTAGCATAAAGTTTGTATGTTTTAATAGTTTATATGTAAATCTATCTCATAGAGTACATGTAATTTTCTCTGAGGAGGGTGGATGTTGTAATACTTGACCAAAATTTGTCACCTACAGTAATTGTACCATTAGTCTTGCAGGTATTTGTGTGTTTTAGCCCATTCTCCTACATTTCACTCCTCATCTTCTCAATGGTTCTGTGGTACACACATGACCTTCAGTTTCAGGTAGAGAAGCTGACTCATGGTGAGTAAATGTCATATTACCATTAAGTACTGGACCTGAAATCAAACCTAGATCCAGTTTCAAAACCTAGGTTCCTACTCTTCAGTGGTGCTTTTCAGGTTGATAGGAAAACCTTTCACCTTTAGAAAAGTAAAGTATACAAAAATAAACACTGTGGCCGGATGTGGTTGCCCACGCCTGTCCAAGGCAGGTGGATCACTTGAGGTCAGGAGTTTGAGACCAGCCTGGCCACACAGTGAAACCCTGTGTCTACTAAAAATACAAAAACTAGCTGGTTGTGGTGGTGGGGGCCTGTAATCCCCGCTACTCCAAAGGCTGTGTAGGAGAATCACCTGAGCCCCGGAGGCAAGAGTTGCAGTGAGCTGAGATTGTGCCACTTCACTTCAGCCTGGGCAACAGAGGAGTGAAACTCCATCTCAAACAAAACAAGAAAACATTGTATAGAACTCAGGGTAGAACACTGAAATATATTGAAAACACCAATAATGCATGTCCTGTTTATTTGGCTTTTTAAAATCACTGTTTATTCCATTTGGTAGAGGGTTTTTTTTTTTCCATACAAATATTTGAACAATTTGAATTCCCCAAAACCATACATAGACGATAAATACCATGCTATTAAAGTATTAAATTTGTACAAAAATACTTTACAGTTTAATACTTGTTACAAATAAAAATACATATTTAAGTGACTCATGATCTTTTTTCTTAACATGATTCTGCTTTATACCTTCCTGCCCTGGCGGTTCTGAAATGTGATTGAAATAAATATTTTTTTGCACAAAAAGGTGATTTTTTTTTTTCTTAAACAAAGGACACAGTGTTTGTTTGAATGCTTTGCCTAAGTGGTAAAGTTTGAATTATTGACCAAAATGAAAATGTTTGGAAAATAATCATTTCAATATGGAGAGTCTACCATCAATATACAGATCTATTTTTTTATATTCACCAAATAACAGTTATTAGTGTAGCTATTCAAAATATCTGAACAAATGAAAACAGTTGCTGACAAACATTTAAAGCAACTGTCACAATTTATTGCTTTGAGGGATGGTAATAATTGGCAATGCATTTGTGAAAAATGTATTTACAATTTCAGTAAGTGGCATGGCTCAGAACAAAAGATAGTCCAGTGTCATTTTTAAGTACATGTGCTGTACACCCTCAATATTACCAGTTTTCAAAACATATCAAGCAGTATGAGTTTGATTTGCCTATCAGTAAGAGGAACCTCATTTTAATAGACTCTTCATTCTCTCTTAAGTTCTTAGTCTTGAATTTAAAAAATAAGGTAATATAGCTAATTCTCGTGTTTACTACACACTCTAATTCATTATCAGAGATTTTCAGCTATTAAAAATGTGTCCTTAAAAAAAAAAACAGGTCACAAGACATATCCTGTTTGATAATTTGTTGCATAGGGAATAGCATACATCTTAGTTAAAATCATTCCTATACTTGAGCAAAACAGTTACCACCACCTATTATGGTCTCCTACGTGCATCATTGCTGAAACATTTTAAGATAATTTTATACCTGTACCCCTCCCACTGTGGCAGTCCCAGCAGTTTACCAAACACTCATTCCCCTAGTAGAGCCAGCTTATGAGAAGAAAAGCCTTGTTGGTCAAGTTCCTACATTAACGACTTCATAGTAAGAAACCGATTTCAAAGTGAATTAAGGAAATCATCATAGAGAATATTTTCAAACAGATGTTTCTCTTTTTAAAAAGTGATAGTAAGATGAACTTGTAAAAATTTCCTCTGACGTTCATTGTAGGGTTGGGGGGCGGCCTATTTTTCTCTACCATTGGGCCTGGCAGGGCATTGCCTGCCATAGACCATAGCGGTCACCAAAAAAGACACCTCTTCAACTTGAAAAGGGAAGTGAACATGAGCCATGAGAGATTTAAAAGACCCCTGTGCTTGCGGTTAATGCCATGTGATCATCTGTGCTTCAAATGTCACAGAAATCTTAAAGGTATTTTTAGCACCATGTAGATATTGTCTTTTGTCCTGCTTTATAAAAAGCGTTGCTATAATGTATTAGTGGGTTCTCGTGTCTCCAAATTACCACCATGGCTAGGCTGCTGGAAAAAAGCACTGTTCTGTTCACTCCAGTCTCCTGGTAGACTCTGTTGTTCTATAGACTTCTGTGAAGCCAACGGGTTTCTACTAATAACCAGGTCCAGCTTATTCCCGGATTCTGCTATGAGGGGCACAACAAGGCAGCAGTCAAAGTCTCTGGTTCGGACGTGATTCACCTGAAAGGACAAGAAGAGCCATTTTGAATTATCATGGTAACCATAATTCCCAAAACCCAGAGTAACACTTCAGGTGCAACAAGTTGTCTGGAGTCATGAAGGTGCCAAAATGAGCACTGTGAGGTCCTTGCTCTGACTATGCTGTGACATGGCTACTGGCTCACCATTGTCTACTAGTAAATTGTAAGGCTCTCAAGGGCAAGGAAACATACACATCTTACCTATCCTCATGCCAAGCAGGTGTCCTCACCCACAGTGGGGGTGCTTCAAGTGCTGAATATTGTCCCTAATTTACAGATGAGAAAAGCAAGGCACAGAGAGGTTAAGAGCTTTGCCTTAGATCAGCAGTTGGTACGGGTTGTAGGATGTAATCCCAGGCCAACTGGCTGATTCCAAAGCTTGTGCTCTGAATCATGGTGCTGAACTACCTCTCTTACAAGTGGAGCTCAACCAGGTGCAGTAGCCCACACCCATCATCGCAGCACTTGAGGAGACCAAGATGGGAGGATTGCTTGATGCCATGAGTTTGCAACCCGCCTGGGCAATATAGTGAGACCCAGTTTCTATTAAGGATTAAAAAAATTTTTTTAAATGAGCTTTATCCCCCTCTTAAGCTTAAACACGCATCTATCTTCTTCCACTTCTCCTTCTTCACCAAAAAAAGTTTTTAAAATCACCCACATGCCACTTCTACTTCTTGACCTCCCATTCTCTCCTCAGTGTTCTCAGGTCCCCCCTGACACATTGCACTGCTGGCAAATGACCCCACTTGTCAAATCCAGGAATGCTCTGGAGTTTGCATCCTCCTTGGCGTTTAGCATTTGCTGCTCTTGACATCTCCTCACCCTTAAAACTCTCCTTCCTTGGTTCTACAACCCCACTTGGTTTTGATCCTTTTACCATTTTAACTGCTTGCTTTCAGCCCTTTCCTGCCTTTATTTCTTCCTGTCCTTTACATTTGGTTATTGTGGCTGGGTGCAGTGGCTCACACCCATAATCCTAGTACTTTGAGAGGCCGAGCTGGGCGGATCCCCTGAGGTCAGGAGTTCAAGACCAGCCTGGCCAACATGTTGAAACTGCCTCTACTAAAAATACAAAATTAGCTGGGTGTGGTGGTGGGCACCTGTCATCCCAGCTACTCTGGAGCTGGTTGAGGCAGGAGAATCGCTTGAACCCAGGAGGTGTAGGTTGCAGTGGGCCAAGATTGCACCACTACACTCCAGCCTGGGTGACGAGAGAGAAACTGTCATTCATAGATAGATAAATTTTGTTATTGTTAGAATCCATCCTTGGTTCTTTTTCTTCTTTGTTATAAGGCCACGTAGGGCAACTTGACCTAAACCCCACCCTTTAGTATCCTAAGTCTTTAACCCTGGCTCTAACCTCTCTCCTCAACAGTGGATCCAAACCACCAACTGCTTCCCAGAATGCTCTATCACTATGTGCTGAAAATATTAAAGACTCATTAGTTCTGAAATAATTGTCTTATCTTACCTACTCCTACCTGGTCTCCTTGCCTGTGATCTTCCCCTCCCCAACTCACCGCCGATACTCCCACAATAATATTGTATTGCCTTTCTATGTTACCAATCATGTCATTATCCTGCTTAAGAAATTAATATGCCCCCAGCATAAAGTTCAAGAGCTTTAGCATCACATTCAAGACCCTTTACAATCGGAATGTAGTCTACTTTTACAGCCTCAACTTCCATGAGATTAGGTCTAGCTCTAATTTATTGATTAGGAAGATACTCATAGAGCTTAACTAACTTGTCCATAGTTATTCATTCAGCAAATATTAGCGTGTTTATGGAAAACAAAGTGTCCCCAACTGCTGGATAAGACCAACTGTTCTATTGCTGTAGTAAAAATCATCACCAGAATTGATTCCAAAACTATTAAATTGATAAATGAACACACTCTGAAAGTAACCAATTAGTGGCAGCCTCCTGCTTTGAAAATCAGCTGTTTGGTGAAGGACTTTATCCAGGTGAGTACACTGCTAAGTCTGGCTTCAACCCACCCCTTTTCTCCTGCAAAATGCCCTTCCTAAAAACTGTACATAAGATCAGAAATCTGCTTTACTAAATAAAACTATAT